CCATTACGGGTCTTGTCAGATCTGCTGTAGGGATTCTCGTGGTTGTTCTATCGTAAGAAGGGGTGTTCTATTGTTGTAAGATAATGGTACTATCAAAGTCACAGGCAATAGAGATGATTACAATAAAGTTAATGTGATTGAAGATTGCTCGATTGAGGCCATGTCTGATGATGAATATGTTTTTGCTGATGAATTCTTTTCTTCTGATGAAGATATATTCTCCGATAATGATTCTGTGATGTCTAAATATTATGAAGAAGGGGTGGATGTTATTGTGTCGTGTTTTGGTGTTCCTGCTCCTATAGAGATTGAGTACCGTAGCAAGCCAACTATTATTCTAGTGGTTATTTGTCTGCCTAGTCCTGTCCCATATGAATCAGACAAAGCTAAGCCATATAAATACAATGCAACTATCCTGGAAGATGGTGTAGAAATTCTTATCCAATCTTTGTCTGATGTCAAGAATATTGCTGAAGCTAGTCAGGTAACCTGCAGTGGTCGTGTCTTCGCCACTATCATTCGAGGGGATGTTAATTCTGATAAAAGGGTTGTTGAAAATATTGAACCTAAGAAAGTGACGGGAGAATCTAGTGGCGCTGCTTTGGAAAAGGATGTGGATGACTTGTTGAAAATTATCAAGATGAGTGACTACAAGACTGTAGATCAATTCTTGCAAACTCTATCTAATATTTCCATTCTAGCTTTGCTAATGAATTCCTCTGCTCATCGGGAATCTCTGATGAGAGTGTTTAATCAAGCTTTTGTGGAAAGTGATATGTCTCTGGATTAGTTTAGTAGTGTTGTGGGGAATATTACATCTTGTAATAATCTGAGCTTTTATGATAACAAATTTCCCAATGAAGGAAGAAACCATAACCTGGCTCTCGATATTTCCATGAATTGTAAGAATGACTCTTTGTCCAATGTGTTGATTGAAAATGGGTCTGATTTGAATGTCATACCAAGGAGTACACTCATGAAGCTTAAGTACCAAGAAACTCCCATGCGCCCAAGCGACATAATAGTGAAAGCTTTTGATGGTTCGAGGAAGTCTATCACCGGAGAACTAGATTTGCCTATTCACATAGGTCTGCACTTATTTCAGACTACTTTCCATGTTATGGATATTGTTCCCGCCTACAGCTGTTTGTTGGGACAACCGTGGATCCATAAAGCAGGAGTTGATACTTCAACCTTGCACCAAAAGCTAAAATTTGTTCGTGAAGGTAAGATGGTCATTGTGAATGGTGAGCAAGCTCTGTTGAGATCTCATTTGTCTTCCTTTATCATTTTAAAAGTTGACGAAGCCGCTGTTGGAACTTAATTCCAATCTTTATCCATTGATAATGTAAGGAAGAACGAGAATTCTATAGCCTCATTTAAGGGTGCACAATAGGTAGTGCAGAAAGGCCCTAGCAAAGTCGGGGGGAAGGTTATCGATCCTCCTGTGAATAGGAATGACATTGGTCTGAGTTTCTCCATGAAGAGGGAAATCATGAAGCTGAAGTCTGATTTGGGTAACTATCAAGATATCTTTCATAGTGGAGGCTATCTCCATCTAACTACTCCAAGGATCAACGTTATTCTTGAGGATGAATCAGAGCAAGAGATACCGAACTACATGATGTATGGAGTTAGAGTCCAGAATTGGATCACTGTTGATGTTCTTTCTTGTATTTATATTTCAAAGTAAGTTGTTTTTTGTTAGTCTTTTCAAAAATCTTTCACTATACCAAAGGTGAAAGTATTGGTGTTGTATGGGCATATCTATTGTTTTGATTTTTAAAATCATTAATAAAAGTTATTTTTGATTCCCAAATTATGTCTTTATTCTCATCTTTTTCTTGGAAAATGGTAATAAAAAAAATCCTTTTAAAATAAATAATAATTATAAATAAATTTGCATAATCACTTGCTACATGTGTGAGTTTCTAAAATCATAAATTATATGTGCAGATTAATTAAAAAACCATTGAGTACAATGACCCTGCACCCTCTCCTAACTTTGAATATCCTGTGTATGTGGTCGAAGAAGAAGAATACGATGAAATCCCAGAAGAAGTTTCACGATCTCTTGAGCGCGAGAAAAGTACCATTCCGTCGTATAAAGGGTCGTTTGAGATGATCAATTTGGGATCAGAGGAAGATCCAAAAGAAGTCAAGATTGGAGCATTGCTTCATCCTGATATGAAGAGCAAATTGATTTAATTGTTGAAAGAGTATGTGCATGTCTTTGCTTGGTCTTATCAAGACATGCCTAGTTTGGATACTGATATTGTGGAACGTCATTTGCCACTAAAGCCAGAATGTCCACCAATAAAGCAGAAGTTGCGAAGAACTCACCCTGATATGACAGTGAAAATTAAAGAAGAAGTTTTAAAGCAGATTAATGTCAGTTTTCTTGTGACATCAGTGTACCCTCAGTGGATTACCAATATTGTTCCAGTACCAAAAAAAGACGAAAAAGTTTTCATGTGCGTTTGTGATATGGTAGCAAAATCGACTGTTATACTGGTTTTGCATTTTTATTCGCAAATGTTGTCGTAAGCAAGAGTCACCACCGACTTTTCTTTTATCCTAATAAAGGAAAGGGTGAAAAGAACATAAAAAGATCTTTCGAGATTTTTTCTGAGTAAGGGGGGTAGATTATGGAAATGGAAGGTGTTAGCACCATTTCCATCTGTAATGATATATTTTTAGAAATAATCTATATGCAAAATAAATTACCTAATTGATTAGCTAATCAATTAGGTACTTGTAATAATTGATTATTGTTCCCCAAATTGGAAGATTTTGATAGAGAGCTGTTACCATTCATTAAGACACGATCACAATCAATTATATACTCAATTATCCTTATCTAATCGATTAGACAATTATAAAAAGTCTTTTAATCAATTGGACAATTTTCTAGTCAACCTGTTAGGCTCCAAAAACATGTTTGGTTATTTTAATTGAAAAAGAAAGGCTTTGAGAATAGTTTTACTGTATATGTGATTTAGCCATATACTTTAAGAAACGCCCTTGCGTCTTTATAATACAATTGATCACTTAGACAAATACAATCAACTGAGCTTTCATACTTCCTCTCTTTCACACTTTGAAGCTTCCAAGATTATTTGTCAGATATACCAGTCATATAAGCACTTCACTTGAATCTTCTTATAGATGAGGCTTGAGATATCTTCGAGTTAGTCATCATCATCAGAGAGTTGTAAAGATATCAGTGGTGATCATAAATCCTAATTCTTTAGCTTGATTTGGAGGAATAGTTTGATCAACCACCGTGTGCATCTTTGAACACTTGATCTAGCTTTAGTAATTACTTGATTACTAAATGTTGTTATCATCAAAATCACTTTAAATGTTGTTACTATTTCAGGTGTTGTCATTATTAAAGTTATGACATCATTAAGGCTAAACATTTGCTTCTTGTCCTTGAACTTTATCATTTTTGATCTTGGATGGCTTCTTTATTATATCTACAAGCACATGATCTACAGAGGAAATCGCTCTCTCGAATTCTAAGATCCAGGCTCAGGAGTTCCTATAAATATCTCTTCCATATGATTGAGAGGGTATATTCGATTCTCAATCAAATCACATAGAAATATAACTTCTCATCATCCTCGCACAGACTTCCTCTACACCAATAATAACCATAAAATCCCCTAAAAACTCTACAGTCATTATATCTTTAGAAAGTACAAGGACCATCATTCTAAAAATCAGGTTAGAAAAAAAATAGTTCTTGTTGTAGCTAATTCAGGTAATCAATCCATTTTTTCTCATACTTATATAAAATAAAGTTTCCTAATTTTATATGAATAGTAAAATATATATCTCCTTTATTTTAATATCTAGTAAGAAGCTTAATGTAAATATATAAAATTTATACTTACATGTATGTAAATACGTTCTTGATGTATGGGGTGAGGCACCACAAGATTTGATTTTGAAGCTATTGATAGAACACTTCAAGATATAATTGGTTTCGAATTCCTAGAAAAAGTAAAACAACTATTTTGAGGAATGTCAATTTTTGTTGGAAGAGATTTTAGACAAATACCTCCAATAATACCAAAAAAAAACGACAACATAATACTAGTACAAGCATATATCAACAAATATTTGTGGGATGACTGCAAAATACTTACTCTATCAAAAAGCATGAGAGTTAGAGATATTATGCCTATAGGTGAACAACAAACTTTGGCATAATATTTCAATAAATGACTCCTTCAACTTGGCAATGGAAATATTTAAACAAAGTTCAGACGGGATTGACAACACAACTGTTATTAATAGTAAATAATCATATATTTGGTCCCCTGTAGGAAGAAAAGATTTAAATTTGAGGAAATCTTTCAACCCATGGTTGTACTAAAAGGTCATAGCTACCTCTTTATTGCATATTAAAGTGTTCTTATAACTTAGTGGTTTAGTCAACAACAGCAATTGTCTACTCCCTGGTTAACACAAAGAAATTGAAGAAATAAATACCATTGAAAATAAAAGTTTCAATTTAGTTTATTTAAATTCATTTTAAAATAAAATATTTATCCTACAGTTCAGTACTCAGTTAGTAGTTGTGCAGAAACATTAATATATACTCAATTGGTAGTTGTGCAGAAACATTAATATGTACTCAATTAGTAATTGTACAGATATATTTAACTACAAAAATCTCAATCAGTTAATAGTTGTACAAAGACATTCTACTACAGAGACCTCAATGAGAGACATTCAACCAGAGACCTCGGCCGCTGAACTGTGGGACAAAAAAAAGTTAATTATTCTTCTAGGAAAATCAATGCAAAGGGCACACACACAAACATATAACCCCTAAAATCCAGAATATGAATCAAAACACATGTAACCAAAACTGTGACTGAATTCTGTCTATAACCTCAAGAAAATGTCATTTGTACATGAAAACAAAAATGATAAGAACAAATTTATAGTAAAACCAGTTCAACAACACAGAATCCTTTTTCTTCTCATGCTTCATCAATCACATTGTCTTTCATAGAGAAACCATCAACAACACTATCATCATCTGTATCAACAGCTTGAAGCTCTTTAAACATTGCCATCACTTGTATCATCGTCGGCCGCCGGTATGGTCTTTCCTCCAAACATTCAAAAGCAATTCTCAAATATTGAAGAACCACACCTTCACTAGATGTTTGTGAAACCAAATCAGGATCAAGTATTTCACTGACTCTTCTCTCTCTATAAAGCTTCTTACACCATCCAACAAGATTGTTATCGTCGCCGAACTCGGATGCGTCGATCGGTCTCTTACCTGATAGAAGTTCTAGCAATATGACACCATAACTATAAACATCACCTTTTGCCGTGCATCGGAAACTCTGGTAGTATTCCGGTGGTACATAACCTGGTGTTCCTGCAAGTGTGCTAACTGTGAGATGTGTGTCGAGAGCATTAACCAATCTCGCCATACCGAAATCCGATACTCTAGCCTCGAAATTTTCGTCGAGAAGAATGTTGCTGGATTTCATGTCTCTATGTATGATATGAGGTATGCAACTATGGTGAAGAAATGCAAGACCTCTTGCTGATCCTAGTGCGATGTTCTTTCTTGTTTCCCAAGCAAGCTTTGAATTTTTGGTTCTCTCGTGTAGAACAGTTTCAAGACTTCCATATTTCATGTACTCATACACAAGGAGCCTCTCATCTCCGACTTTACAGTAACCGAGAAGCGGAACAAGGTTCCGGTGTTTAATCTTCCCAATCGTTTCCATTTCGGCCATGAACTCTCTGTCTCCCTGACCTGTGACATGAATGAGTTTCTTGATCGCAACGACACTGCCATCTTTCATCTTAGCTTTATAGACTTCGCCAAAACCTCCTGAACCTATCAAGCTTTCGGAGCTGAAACCATTTGTAGCCTCGAGAAGATGCGCGAACGTCAACTTACGCAAAGGCTTCTCAAACGTGGCGACATTGATGCTCAGAGGCTCACGAAAGCCAGAAAGCTTCCAACTATTGGTACCAGAAGTTGGAAGACTTTCCATGTATTTTTCTCTCAATTCGTCCTTCTCCCGCACCTTTCGAGCTCTATATAAAGCCAATAAAACCACAATGATAAACAAGAGGAAGAACAGGACGGAAATGCCACCCAAAACTGCAATAGATTGCGTCTTCTTCTTCCCCGGATTATAACCTACTGATTGGTTTGAAGCACTGCATAACGGTAACGGAACACCGCAAAGGCCCGAGTTGTTCTCGTATCGAGACGCCGGGAAAGTTGTCAGCTGACCTCCAGAAGGAATCGGTCCGCTGAGGTTATTATTCGACACATCGAAATCACTGAGAAACGATAGAGATTGTAATGATCCAGGTATGAATCCTTGAAGGTTATTATGAGATAAATCAAGAACTCCTATAGCTTTTAAAAGACCGAAAGTTTCTGGAATTTTTCCATCGAGCCGATTGTGTCCTAGATTTAAGACCTGCAAATAGGACATTGTACCAAAACTTCCCGGAATACTCCCCGACAAGAAATTGTAGGAAAGATCAAGGTAGATCAGGCTTCCACGGTTGGTAAAAGTATAAACTGTATAACCCGAATATATTCTTGTCAACGGACAAGAATGTACCATAGGAAAATTTTCGAGCCTCTCGACCCTTATACCTTCAAACTCAACGAGTCCTCCAGCGCCTCTACAATTAGTTCCGCCTTCATTTCTCACAAATACAAATTGTTTACCGGAAACTCTCCCCGGAACAACCAATCCAGCTTGGTTCGTGAGCTTAGGCGGAATAGGACCGGTGAGATTATTGCTAGTCAAATCCAACCATATTAATCTCTTGCACATTCCAATGTCGGGAGGTATATTTCCGACCAGCAAATTGTTACCTAATTGGAGAATAGCGAGTTCGTTCAAATTCCCAATACCAACAGGTATTTCTCCGGTAATGCGGTTGTTAGCTAGCGAAACCCAAATCATGTTGGTACAATTTGCAATAGACTTAGGAATCGAACCAGAAATGAAATTGTTGTTAAGAATCAATGTCTCGAGGTTCCCTCCATTGACGCAAATTCCCTCCGGAATCTCGCCGGTGAGACTATTTGCCCACATAATCAAATCAGAAAGATTAGGCAAAAACCAAACTTCCAAAGGTATCACACCACTCAAATTATTGAAGCTAAAATCAATAGTCCTCAAACTCTTGCATTCACCGAGTTTCGCAGGAACGTTCCCCGAAAGATAATTATCCGCTAAAAGCAACTTCTCCAATTTTGAAGGACAGAATATCGAATGAACGTTGCCCGTGAAACCGTTGGCACTTAAGTCAAGAACTCGAAGTTGCGTACAGTTTGCAACAATCGACAAAGGAACATTCCCGGTTATGTTGTTGAACGACACCAACAGATACCTAAGATTTGAAAGCTTGCTAGCAACGGTGTCGAGGAAATCACCATAGAGATAATTCTTAGTCAGGTTAAGAATCTTCATCGACGAACAATTTCCAAAAACCAAAGGAAACTCGCCAGAAAGCTTATTCATAGAAAGATCAAGAATCTCCAAACTCCCACAAACACTTCCAAGCTCATTAGGTATTTCGCCATTAAAAAGATTATTCCCTAAATAAAGATTCTTCAAATTCCTCAATGCGCCAAGAACAAAACCGGGAATCTTCATCTTAAACCGATTTCGAGAAAGATCCAAACTTTCCATCTTTCGACAATTCCTCAAACTTTGAGGAAACTCAAAATCAGATATCACATTGTGAGATAAACTCAACCAAACAAGCTTCTTACAATCCCCGAATTCAAACTCCGAAAACCCTAACGAAAAATTATTGCATGAAAGATCCAAACTTACAACACTATCACCAACAATCTTATAAGGTAACTTCCCAAACAACAAATTATGAGACAAATCCAAACTTACCAAATTCACAGAAGGAACAAGAGAATCACTTAATTCACCATAGATTCTGTTATCAGAGAAATTCACAAAAACCAAACTTTCAAACTTTGTAACAACATGCACAACAAAACCAACATCAGAAAACATGTTTCTAGACATATCAAGCTGAATCAAAGAAGGAAAAAAACCACCATTACCAAACCCTAATAAGCTATAATTTGATTTAGTAATCAAATTCATAGACAAGTTCAAGTAACTGAGATTATAACAAGAAACAAGATTCTCAAAAGGGAAAATTCCTGAGGTATTGGTTGAAGAAATATCAAGAGTCACAAGAGAACAAGGCTTTGAATTTGAAACAGAAAAGTTAAAAGAACTGAAAAAGTTTCCATGTAAGAGAAGGTGTTGTAAAGAGGGTATTGAAGTGAAGGTGAAAAGGTTGAGAGTGTTGCCGGAAAGTGAAGCTCCGGTGAGATTAACGGTGGTGATTTCGCCGGAGTTGGAACAAGTGATACCTTGCCAGAAACAAGGTGAAGATGAAAGGGACCAATTTGAAAGGTAGTTTTTTGGGTCAGAAATGATGTTGGAGTGTTTGAAATTGTTTAACAACGTTGCTGAGTCAAACGTTGTTTTTGATGTTGTTAAGGTTGTTGAAGAAGTTAAGGTTAGTGTGATGAATGAAACAAACACATGAAGAAGGAAAACACATGCTGTTGTTGTTGTTGGTGGTGGTGGTGATGGTGAAAATCTACATGACATTTTTGTTGTGAAAATCTACATGACATTTTTGTTGGATTTTTTTCTCTTTTTTTCATTTTTTTCTCAAACTTTTGAGTTTTGATTCTTTGTTTTCTTTTTTGTGTCATCAAATTCAAAAGAATGAATTAATAATTATTCTTGTTTTATGTGTACGTGTGGGTGGGTCTATACTATATATATGTGTATGAGTGCATCTAGAAGTATATTAAAAATAAATTCTTTTGAAAAATGAAAAAATAGAATGTTTTTTTTTTTAAATAGGTAAATTTGCTTTTTTATGTGGTAAATTTATTAAAATTAATATTTTAAATTCCATGAATGTAAATTAAAAAATGTAGTTTAATATTTATTTGAAGTCCCTTTATCGCTTTATATAGCTATTGTTGTATGAGAAAAATTGTTAAATATTTAGTAAAATTACATAATATTGAAAAGATAAATTAATAAAATATAAATGAGAAATAATAAAAAATATATAAAGATATAGTAAAAAGAATAATATTAATAATTCATTAATATTAAAAAATAATTTACAATTTGATACAATTTTTTTAAAATAGTATATAATAAATAAAAAAGACAAAAGGAGTGGAGTATAAATTTACTATTAGATATTTATTTTACATAAAAAGAAGAAATTAATTAAAATATACAAACAATATAAAATTGTTTTAACACGATCATTTAATTAAAATTAATTATTTTAACACATAAATATAAAATTAAAAATAAAATAAAATAAATTATTGAACAAAAATAAAAATAATAAGAATTTCAATTTTTTAATATAATTCTTTTTAGAGGTTAATTGGAATATATTAAAAGTGTATAGCTATTTCACACCGTCGACTAATTAAAATTAATTATTTTAATATAAAAAAGAAAAAAAACATTAAAAAAAATTTATTAAAAAAAATTAATTATAATTTATTTATTTTATTTTTAGTTTCACGTTTATGTGTTAAAAAAATAATTTTAATTAGATGATCATATAAAGTAACTTTATATTACTAATGTATTCTAATTAATTTAATTGAAATACAATATAAATGTAAAATAATTTTACATTTTATTCAATTAGAATGAATTATTTTAATACATAAATATGAAATTAAAAGTAAAAAAAAAATTATAATTAAACTATTTTAATAATTATTGAATGAGAGTGTTAAGTGATATTTTCATACTGATAGTGTATTATAATTAATCTTTTATTTTAATTATTTTTAAAACTAAACTGATGAATGCTTGAGATGTATCGATGATATGCAAATTTTTAAGTTGGACTTATAGTCATTTACAATTAATTTTTTATTTTAATTATACGTATTGATGATATGCAAATTTTTATGCTGGTACGACATAATTAAATTCAAATTTTAATGATAACATGCTACACTAAAGGAAATGTTTATCATGTTTTTTTATAATTTTATAATTTATTTAAGATTATCTTCTTTTTAAAGTCTTTGGAACTCTATAATATAGGATCAGTTTGTTTTATCTTTAAAAAAATTGTATATTTTAAAAAAAAATTGTAAAAAGATTAATTTTCACATCAAATAACATAAATATATATAGTGAAAATCACAAATTTTTTAAAAAGATGTATATCAAAATAACTTTGATAAAAAACTATTCAAGCTTCAAATTTAATGTGAGTGCATTTATAAGTACAAAAAAATATAATTCTTTAGAAAAATAAATAAATAGAATTTTTTTAATAGGGAAATCATTAGGTTTTGTTGCTTTTTTTATGTGGTAAATTTCTTTAAAAAATTAATATTTTAAGTTCTATAAATATGTATTAAAAACATAATTATTTTAAGTAGTTTTATAAAAAAATTTAAAAATTATAAAATATAGTTATTGTTGTATGAAAAATAATTATAAAATATTTTACATAATTAACTTTCACCCGTAATATAGAAAACGTAAATTAATAAAACAGAAACAAGAAAAATTAATTAATATAAAGTATAATAAAAAGAATAACATTAATAATTTATTGATATCATAAAATAGTTTATAATTTGATTAAAAAATATTTAAACAAAATATAATAAAATAATTATAAATATACTTGTTGATATTATTAGATGTTTATTTTAGGTATAAAAAAATACATTAAAAAGTGTGACATCAAGGGATGATAAAAAATGTATATTCTTCATTATTTGCGGATATAATCGGTCACGAACACGGGTTTGATGATTTATTAAATATTTATAAATAAAATAATAAATATTTAATTATTCATTAATTTACTAATAAATATATAAATTTGATGGTACATATACTCGTAACTCGTAAGTATTCTTCATTATTAATAGGTATATTTGCTTTTTTATGTGATAAATTTATTAAAATTAATATTTTAAATTCCATGAATATAAATTAAAAAATATAGTTTAATATTTATTTGAAGTCCCTTTATCGCTTTATATAGCTATTGTTGTATAAGAAAAATTATTAAATATTTAGTAAAATTACATAATATTGAAAAGATAAATTAATAAAATATAAATGAGAAATAATAAAAAACATATAAAGATATAATAAAAAGAATACCATTAATAATTCATTAATATTAAAAATAATTTACAATTTGGTACAATTTTTTTTAAAATAGCATATAATAAATAAAAAAGACAAAGGGAGTGGAATATAAATTTACTATTAGATATTTATTTTACATAAAAAGAAGAAATTAATTGAAATATACAAACAATATAAAATTATTTTAACACGATCGTCCAATTAAAATTAATTATTTTAATACATAAATATAAAATTAAAAATAAAATAAAATAAATTATTGAACAAAAATAAAAACAACAAGGATCTCAATTTTTTAATATAAATCTTTTTAGAGATTAATTAGAATATATTGAAAGTGTATAGCTATTTTACACGGTCAATTAATTAAAATTAAATTATTTTAGCTATTTTATACAGTCAATTAATTAAAATTAATTATTTTGATATAAAAAATATAAAAAAATATTTATTAAAATAACTTAATTATAATTTATTTATTTTATTTTTAGTTTCATGTTTATGTGTTAAAAAAATTAATTTTAATTAGATGATCTTATAAAGTAACTTTACATTATGAATTATTCTAATTAATTTAATTGAAATACAATATAAATGTAATAATTTTACACTTTATTCAATTAGAATTATATATATATATATATATATATATATATATATATATATATATATATATATATATATATATATATATATATATATATATATATATATATATATATATATATATATATATATATATATATATATATATATATATATATATATATATATATATATATATATATATATATATATATATATATATATATATATATATATATATATATATATATATATATATATATATATATATATATATATATATATATATATATATATATATATATATACAAATTTTTAAAAAGATGTATATCAAAATAACTTTGATAAAAAATTATTCAAGCTTCAAATTTAGTGTGAGTGCATTAATAAGTACAAAAAAATATAATTCTTTAGAAAAATTAATAAATAGAATTTTTTTAATAAGGAAATCATTAGATTTTGTTGCTTTTTTTATGTGGTAAATTTCTTTAAAAATTAATATTTTAAGTTCTATGAATATGTATTAAAAAACATAATTATTTTAAGTAGTTTTATAATTTTTAAAAAAAATTATAAAATATAGTTATTGTTGTATGAAAAATAATTATAAAATTAACTTTCAGCGATAATATAGAAAATATAAATTAATAAAACAGAAACAAGAAAAATTAATTAATATAAAATATAATAAAAAAGAGTAACGTTTTATAAATTAATAATTTATAATTTGATTAAAAAATATTTTAATAAAATATAATAAAATAATTATAAATATACTTGTTGATATTATTAGATGTTTATTTTAGGTATAAAAAAATATATTAAAAAGTGTGACATCAAGGGATGATAAAAAATTTATATTCTTCAATATTTGCGGATACAATCCATCACGAATACGGGTTTGATAAATTATTAAATATTTATAGATAAAATAATAAATATTTAGTTACTCGTTAACTTACTGATAAATATATAAATTTAATGGTACGTATACTCGTAACTCGTAATTATTCATATTCATTAATAATTGTTAAAATTACTTAAATATTATTTAGTTAAATCTAAAACTATTATTATTTTTATTATTATTATTATTATTATTATTATTATTATTATTATTATTATATTTTTAGTATTCTTCATTATTAATAGGTATATTTGCTTTTTTATGTGATAAATTTATTAAAATTAATATTTTAAATTCCATGAATATAAATTAAAAAATATAGTTTAATGTTTATTTGAAGTCCCTTTATCGCTTTATATAGCTATTGTTGTATAAGAAAAATTATTAAATATTTAGTAAAATTACATAATATTGAAAAGATAAATCAATAAAATATAAATGAGAAATAATAAAAAACATATAAAGATATAATAAAAAGAATACCATTAATAATTCATTAATATTAAAAATAATTTACAATTTGGTACAATTTTTTTTAAAATAGCATATAATAAATAAAAAAGACAAAGGGAGTGGAATATAAATTTACTATTAGATATTTATTTTACATAAAAAGAAGAAATTAATTGAAATATACAAACAATATAAAATTATCTTAACACGATCGTCCAATTAAAATTAATTATTTTAATATATAAATATAAAATTAAAAATAAAATAAAATAAATTATTGAACAAAAATAAAAACAACAAGGATCTCAATTTTTTAATAAAATCTTTTTAGAGATTAATTGGAATATATTGAAAGTGTATAGCTATTTTACATGGTCAATTAATTAAAATTAAATTATTTTAGCTATTTTATATAGTCAATTAATTAAAATTAATTATTTTGATATAAAAAAATAGAATATAAAAAAAATATTTATTAACATAATTTAATTATAAT